AGAGAGAGAGAGAGAGAGAGAGAGAGAGAGAGAGAGAGAGAGAGAGAGAGAGAGAGAGAGAGCACTAGGCACATCCGGTTCGTACGTCGTCTGTTGAACTCCATTTGATCTCCAATCGACTTCTTGTGTAGCTAGACTGACGAGCGTAGTTTAGTCACGTTAGTGGAGTGGGTTGCGCCTGATCCAATGGGCTCGGTAGGAAGGTACAGGAGAGGGGAAGGGAACCATTGAATGCGCTGGTGGGTGATGGAGGAAGTGGACACCCGCCGAAGCAGGCAGCCAGGCAGATTGCGTGTGGGCCCGGGAGGGGCTGCCGTCATGGGACCTTGGGAGCATTCTCATTCGTGATTAGTTATCGGGCGACTCCTCGAGACGCCGACAGCGGCATAGACACGAAGATAAGTTTATGAAAACTGGCCCAGTGCAAGTCGATAGCTGATAAACCTGATGGACGGATGGTCTGTCAGCTTTAACCTTGGCATTATCAATAATGATATGAAAAGGTCCAATCGTATTCGTATGATGAGTGGCACCACCGCTACGGCGGCAGCAACAGCAGGCGTTCTAGTGTTTATCCGACAACTGTTTGCTGCCGTTCTAGTGTCTCTACGAAGACAAGAGAAAGTGGGTGCTTACTGCCAATCAATCGAATCACATTAGTCATTTCCCAATCGATAGTGATTACTGTGTCTGTCGTTCCATTGCCCGCAGTCGCCTTGCCAGCCGCCTTGAAGTTCTGTGCTATGGACTCGTCCAGGAAACGACAAAGAGACGAAGATGACGATGATGGACGGCTTGGGGGAGATGAAGATGGTGGCAAGCATTGGAGCAGTGGGAGGCATGGGGGGGGAGTGATCTTGGGGAAGGCAAGATTGGCCCCTTTGCAGCTTTCGCCTGAGAGTGGGTGCTTGCAGTCAGCGACCCGTTTTCAGGTAAGCAAGGGGGCAGCAGGTAAGACGAGCAACCAGATAGTGGAGCACTGTGCGCACCTGGAGCTCGCTTCCTTTCTCCGGGCGGATTGTGGGGATGGAGTGGGGGAGGCTGATGGGCAAGGCCGCTCGCCGGCAGCAGCAGCGATGGGCACGGGCGGCGTGACGAACATTCTTCCATCGTCGAGGGTGTCCGGCCCCTGCTCCCCGGGGCTGTGCAGCAGCTCTCGGGGTCAAGTATCGTCCAACAGCTGCTCGACGTCGGGCGCAAGGGAGAGGGAACGGGAGATGGAGAGAGCACTAATCGATGTGAATGAAGTCCCGAGGACTGAGGACGACGATAACCTGCTACAAGGGAGAAAGGGAAGACGTAAGAAAGAGAGCAGAGTGGGGATTGTCAGGGTGGCGAGAGCAGCGGAGGACGAGGGAGAGGGGGAGGGGGAGGGGGAGGAGGGGGTTGTCCAACTGGAAGGAGACTGCTGTTTCGTAAAGCTGCCTGCAGGAATGGCACCAGGAGCTGCTCGGGAGATCGACGAGGAGGAGGGGAGCGCCGCTAGCTCCTCCCCCTGCGAGTCGGAGCTGGTACGTGCACGAGTAGCACGCTCTGGAATGGCTGATGATGGCAGCGGCGGCGAGCCATGCACTGCCGATCTGCGGTTGGCATGTAGCGGAGGGGGGTGTCCGACTGCCACGGTTGGGTGTAGTAAACGGCTCGAGTCCGTCGAGCGATTGAGGAAACGAGTTGATATGGGCTTCAAGAAACTGGAGTCAAGGGAGCACATCATCAATTGCAGTGATTCCGTACGAGTGAGCTCAGGAGAAGAAGGGGTGTCCGCTGCTGACCCTCCTGCCAAGGTAGGAGCGGGAGCAGCGACCAAGATGCCAATGCAGCTGCTTCTGGGTCCTCGGGGTTCAAAGGAATACACAGAAGAGAACGGAGGAGGTGGGCAATTTCAGGCTGCGCCCTCGATCGTTGGCAGGCGGTCCAGCTGCAGGGAGAGCGACGAAGCGGCTGACACTCTTCTCCCCTTTGGAGCTCAGCAGGTAACCACTGGTGGTGGAAGCATGGTTCGAGCGGCGGAGATGAGCAGATGGCCGCAGCACGGTGGCCGCCAGCACCAGGCGTTGGAACAGCCGATGCTCGCCTTCAGGGAGTCGTCAGAGGGACGGGATCCAAGCTCGGTGGTGTTACGTCGCCGGCCTGCTCAATTAGGACTGTTGGAAGTGTTGGGGGGGGGAGTGGGAAGCGAGGAGGACACGCACTGCACGACCACGGAAGGGACGTCCATCATGGGGAGGACAGGAGGGGAGGAGGGGACTGCTGGCAGGTCGACCAAGCTGGACGAGAGCGTTTCCGAGGAGGAAGAGCAGCAACGGCTGCAATGGCCGTCTCTGCTCCATTTTGGGGGACAAGAAGAGGAAAGTCGGGTCTCGACTATGCTTCGTGTCGGAGTGGAGCCGGGGACGGAGACGACAAGGAGCTACGACCGAGACGTGCACCAGGAGCAGCACCAGGCGAGGGTTGACAGGCAGGGAGAGCGATGGGCGGGATCTCCGCCCTCGGGGATGCCGTCCTCGTGCTGCACTCGGCGTTCTCGGGAGTCAGGCGGCCATTGTGGAGTGTCCGGCCGGGAGCACAGCCCCACCTATGCATTGTCAGCCGTTGGGCGCCATGCTTACGGTGGAGGGGACGCTTTGGGAGGAGCATCCGGTGCTATCGCCGGTAGCCGAGGTGTTAGAGGTGTGGAGGATACCTTGAGCGTCTTCCATGGCTCAGCCTCGCCTACCGTGGCCTGCTTCCAAGTCAGCGACAGGACTGTGGGGGGGGAGGGAAGGGGGAGGGGGAGGGCAACCACCACCACGAGTGAAGACCCGCAACGCTCTTGGAAAGGACCAACCATGCCAGAAAGACGCGTTCGGAACTCGTCAGACTCTAGGGATGGTACGCTTGGTGGGGGCGCAGGCCTTCGATGCGAGCTGGTTACCAGGGACCAAATCCACACGCCGTCGTCTCTCGTCCGGTCCGCCTCTGCAACAGCCTCCACATCCGCTGCTGCTCTGCGTGGAGACATTGCCGTCGGTGGGGGGATAGAAGGTAGGTCAGATGCCAAGTGTCCCTCGGATGGGGGCACAGAGAGCTGGACACGGGGATGGGGCGTCGAGAACGTGGTCGACATCGGTAATGCTCGGCGCTCAGGCAACCTTGCTTGTCACTCCCCTGGATCTCCGTCGGCTGGCCCTCTTCCGTACGCAATCGCCTGCTCCCGTCCTCATGACGCATGCGCTAAGCGCAGAGGGATGGGAAGGGATTCGACGGAAGGAAGTGAAGAGGGGAAAGTCGAAGGCGATGAGGGGATCAAGAAAGTTCGCCGGTTGCTGATTGGGAAGACGAGGGAGGGGCTCGATTTCGTCTCCTCGCCCGCGAAGACCGATTGCGAGAGAGTGCGGGAAACGTTCTTCTCGTCGGCGGCTCAAAATCATCATCATCGTCATTACCGCCCGGAGGCACATCTGCAGCTGCTATGGCTGCAACAGCAGAAGCAGCGTGAGCAGCTTGAGCATGACCGGGTGCTGAGGGAAAAGTTGGAACACAGCAATGTCGTGGAGGAGAGGGCCGCAAGGAACAGAGCGTTTCTACAGATGGACGGGGCACATCACCAGCACAATCGCCTACGCCGTTCGTCGGTGCCTTTGGGTAGCAGCGATGAAGACCGTCACAGGCATGCTCCGACGGAACGCAACTCCTCCCTGTTTTCTGTTCAATCTTCGGGCAGGGTTTCCTCGCTTTCCTCCCTTTCTTCTTCTTGTCTCGCTTTTGATGCGGCAGCAGCGCCCACAGACGGCCCTCCGGGATTATCAGCAGTCGATAGACATGCCGCTGGCGGCTCTCGACATCTCCCATTTGCTGTTCCCTCTCGGTCGAACATCGAGAGGGGGACGTCGGCGGACTTGCCCGTCAGGGACGACAAAGAGCATTCGATCGAACCAGCTGCGACGTGGCCGGGGGCCTTGTCTTCCCCCGTCAACGCTCGCGCGTTGGCCATCCGTAATTACGACCTGCCGGGTGCAATGTCGGTCTCGGCGTCGGCGGGATTGGGCGGGATCGATCTGTTCCGCTCCGCGGGGGCGCACGCGGAGGCAGCTGTTAGCGGCGGAGGGGAATTCCGCCGTCAAGCACAGTCTTTGACGCCTGTCAATGTCTCACTAGCGGGGTTGGATGTTGCAGCTCCAACGGCTGGATACGAGAGAGAGATCTCCTGCTCCTGGGCAGTCGGAGCAGGTGGGGGGGGATTGCAAGCAACTCCGTACCTGGGTATGCTGCCCTTCCTGACGCGCCAGCAACAGGGTTCAGGCCACCCCATTCTGGAGGCATCATCGGGGTGTCGCGCGGCGTGCTTGCCCTCTCCGATTATCTCGTCTAGGCATGGCCGTTGTAGTGCAATTCTGTCCTCCGCCGCCAAGTGCTTGTCTAGACGGGTAGGGGGACGGGATGGGGCGCAGATGCCAGCAGCTGGCGCAACAGCGTCCGCAGCGGCAGCGGGAGCTTCCCCATATGCGCACGGAGCAGGCTTCGGAGCGATTCCCATGGGCGAGCTCGTCCGAGGAAGCGAGCTCAGAGGAGTCAATAGTTCCCCCTCTCGTGTTGGGCGGAACGCGGAGTTCATGCGCGAGATGTTCCGCCTACGGGGTACGACGGATCTGACAGCCATGTGCATGCGATCGATGGAGCCATCGACGGCGTGTTCTTCGTCTTGCACGGCTCCTCCCGGCCTTGAGCAGCACCAAGGCCAGCAGCAGCAGTCAAGCGACCAGGGGGGGGTGTCGGCGGCAACAGCCCTCGAAGCTTACAAGTCTTCAATGGCCATGCGGAGAGACCTTATTTTCAGGGTGGACGGGCCGACGGTGCAGCACAAGGTGGGCCCTCTGAACCTCAACTGGACGCCCAAGGAAGCCATCTACAGGATTATAATCGGTGGGCTAAACCCCGTTCCAAGGAAGGAGTACAGCGAGGTCTATGGAGCGATTCCCAAGGTATGGATCAACGCACACGGCGCGCACAAGAGCACTCGTCTTCTGCAGACACGGGGGATCTCAGAAGAGACGCTGCTGGGCGCGTACAAGCAGTGGTTTGGGAAGAAGCAATGGGGACCGAAGCTGAAGAACCGTCAGGCGGTCTTCTGTAGAGTCATGGAGAAGGAGAACGGGGTCGCTTTCTCGATTGGTGGGTGCGCTCTCGTTAGGAGGAGCGTCAGACCAGACGTGCAATTCTACAAGGACCAGCCCATTCACTGCGATGACGAGCCGGGTATGTCTTGGTTGTGGCTGTGCCGGGTCGAGAAGCTCTTCTCTCACAGGGGAGACGATGACAGAGTGTACGCTTGGGGAACAGTCCGTTGGTTCCACAGGCACCCGCTGACATCCGCCGCTGAAGATTCTTCCGCAGTTATCAAGGGCAACAATAACGAGAGCAACAACAACAATAACTGTAACGCCAACAACAACAACAACAAGAACGTTAACAGCAAAGGTTTTCCTCCTCCTGCGCCTCGTCCTTCCACTTCTTCTCCTCCTTCATCCACTTCTCCTTGGGCAGGTCGTTCGCATAGCCAGCACCCTGCACGAGCCCATCGTTTCTTGGAGTCGACGGAGCAGGCCTCGGACCACGATGTGCCGCCTGCTCGGTACTTAGAACGATTTCCCGCAGACGATAGATTCGCATTGTCGATGAACAGTAGTCGTGGAGCAGATGAGGTAGCGGATGTAGAACTAGGAGTAGGAGTAGGAGTAGGGTTATTAGGGAGGGGGTCGGGCGTAGTATTAGGAGGAGGAGGAGGTGATTCGCTCTCTCCGCGACGGAGGAGAAGTGCACGCGACGACGACGACGAGGAGGAGGAGGAGGAGGAGGAGGAGGAATTCAGTGCGCCGGCGATTGAGCATCCTCTCTGTTATACCTCTTCTCCTCACCATCGGCGTCAGCAGCAACAGCTTCAGTTACTTACCAACTCCAGCTCCTGCGCGGAAGGGAGAACGAAGATGGCGGGTAGCCAGACCACCACGACGACCACGACGGGCGGGTCAAGCGCCAGCACGCGGTCCTCTTCCGCGGGAGGGGGGGTGAAGCTTCCGCTGCGCTTGGACGAAGTGGAGGACGCCTGCCCGGTGCCTCTCCATTTGTTCGTCAAGGACATGAAACTTGTGCACGACTGCAAGTGCGAGATGCTCGAGAGAGAGAACGATAGGTCATTACAGGAATGGGCGGAGAAGAAGGGGCATTGTAAGACGGCCCCAGTGTGTGCAAAACATGAGTTGCCTGAAGGGTATTGCGTCTGCCAGAGACGACCTCTCAAGGGGACTGCTCATGCCGACTGGAACCGAAACTACTGGTGGTATACTGCAGGGGGACCACCTGCTGTCTCGCCCGTGCAATACTCCCCCACGCTTGCATTGTCCGACACGACAAGATGTGATCCTGCTCCTCCCCCTCCTCCTCCTCCTCCCACTCTTCGTTCCTCCTCGTCTTCCTCCCAGCAGCAGCACCAGCACGCTAATCTACCGCTTGGTCTCTAGACGACCGACGAGTACAGCGTGATCGGTAACCACCCAGTGTAAAGGTAGAGAGACACACCTTCAGGTTGAACGAACGGCCAATTTTTGACGTTGTACGTTCGACGGATTTTCCATTTTCAATACGATGCTTTAGTTGCTTATAATCCTTGGATCGGTTATTCTGCGTTGGACGGAAGGCTATCTCTTCTGAATCCTTTCTCCCAGAGGACTACTGCTTTCTGCTCAGTCGAAACCTGCGCATACCACAGCTGAATGGAGGGCCATTCAAGTTGATTCAACTACACTGACACGCCAAGCCCTGGCTTCAAAAACAGCCTTTCTTGACGTCTACCCTGAACTCAATCGCTGGAGTCGCTCCTCCCTCTTGACTTTATCAAACATGTATAACCAACACCATACTCCTTCATTCGTCATTCATCCACTTAACCTTGCAATTTATCGATGCTCCCGCCAAAACCTAAGGGCTGTGACCTGTCCGTTGTCATCGTGTGACACCAGTAGTTTGTGCCTGTGTTTTTGTGCATGCACTTGTACACGCTTATCTGTGTCCGGCTTTATGGCAACGCTCGCTTGCACTTCTCTGTGTGCTTGTGTGCGTGCTTGTGTGTGTGTGTGTGTGTGTGTGTGTGTGTGTGTGTGTGTGTCCCCGTAGGTGCGCGCTCGTGTTTGGGTTTGAACGGGACAGCATCCTCAGTCCTTGAAGGAAGCATTGCCACAGGAGTGGATCTACATCGGTAATCCTTGACCTGCAGGATGGGAGTAACTAGTCCGTCAGAATGAGCCCACAGGACTACCGACTAAACGTTTTCTGCTTCAGCTCCGCATCCGCATTCCTATGTTCTTCCTTGTCCTATTTATCCCTTTCTACCCACCTCTTGATCGACTGCTCATCCAAATATGGTGCAACATACTATTAAAAGCCGGCCGTTCCTGCTCAAG